TCTTTGTTTTATGAAAGAGAAAAGGAGGTTCCAGAGTGTTAAGTGACTTGCCTGAGGCTGACCCCACGCACAGGTGCCAGAATTGGGACTCGAAACCCATCCAGCTGGCCCCAGAACCAGAGCTTCTTGCACCACACTGTGCTGCCCCTGTTGCCTCCATCCTTGGATTATAGAAGAGCTGAAGCAAGAAGGCTAAGCGTGTCCTTGTTCAACCTCAGCTGGGTGCTAGTAGGGTGACTCATGTGTTTTTCGTGCTCTGAGCATGTCTGAAACGAACACAAAGACGCCACAAGTATTGATTTGGGGTTACAAATTAATTTTTGAGTTGGAGTGAGTACGCAAATCACAACTACAGAATCTGTAAATAATGAAGCTACACTGTAGAATTTGTGTGGGGGTCCCTGTTAAAAGCCGAGCTGGGAGTGCCAGCAAATACCTTTTTTATGTCTTTTGGCTGGTTCCTTTTCACCCCTTCAGAGACTTGTCAGAGAATTCTTGTCTGACCCGTAAAATGGACCCTACTCTCAGCCATGTTCAATCACATTACCCTGTTTAATTTCCTCTAGGCACTTGTCATGATCCAGAATTTTTATTTATTTCTTGACTTGTTCAGCCTGTTCCCCTATGCTCATATGTAAACTCTGTGATAATGGGAACTTTGTGTATCTTGGACGTCCTGCATGCCCAGCACTTGGAATGCTGTCTGAGGCGCCCTGGGAACCCGGTTGCTATTATTCGAATGAATAAATGAATAGATTGATGAACGAATCAATAGTTGTATGTAGGTCTTTCACAGTGAAGGCCGCAAGTGTTTTATAAGAGGAGACTTGAGCTTGCATGACATTGGCTGTGTCGCTTGCAGCCTCAGATAAGGCATCAGGGCCTAAAAAGTAAGATAATCACACCTGAACGAAGAAAGAAATTCTGCCAGAATTGGGATTGGGGCTAACTTGAGAAGAATTACTTTAGAGTATTTTGCAAAGAGATAAAGTTAGTACTAAGGACTAGAAACAGTGATTTGGGGGGGGGGGATGATGCGTTTCAGGATGAGAAAGGAAGTTGTAACTCCAGACGGAGAGAGGTTGTGTGCTGAGCACGTGCGTGAGGCCAGAACAGAGATGGAGTCAAAGTAACTGAGTTTCTTCTCATGAGGAGCCGAGGTGACATTTACACGTGAGTATAATTGAGATGAGAAAAAAAGCTAGCCGTGAGAAGCCTGGAATGGGAGGAGGCCTGATTTTAAGCTCTATTTTGTCCTGCAATGTCAAGGGCGCTGAAGGATACGTGCCCTATTTCCCAGCGCGGTACAGAGGCGGGATCCAGTAGTCACCTACCACCGGGCCATCATTCCTGATTATCCCCATCCCACTCTTGTCTTTAGGGCAGGGACAAAGGAAGGTGGAAGTAGTGGTCTGTGAAAGAAGGTTTGAGGGCTGTTTCTTTCATCCTTGGATTGGCTCTACTCCAAGCGCTTCCATTAGCCTCAGTGATTCTGAATCAAAAGATGTGAATCCGAAATTGAAAGCTAAAATCGTAACTAGGAGCTGCCAGCTTCCAAACCAAACCTGGGAACTAGAAACACCTGAGCACACTGCTAGCAACCAATAAACCCTGCCATATTTGGATTAATAGCCCATAGAAGAAGTGAAGTCCAATCAAATCATTAACTCCTTTTAAGTGACTTATAAAACAGCAAAACTGTGGAAAACTTCTTTGTAGTGGAAGAATTTTAGAAATATAGGATAGCATTCAACTTATTTTATTGTACCTTTTGGAAAGTAAGAATGCTAGAGTTACAAAAATTTGGAAGCTTCATCAAAGTATAAAAAGAGATTCAACTTTCCTGGTTTCAAAGGAAAGTCAATTCTGTGTTTTTTTAAAAGATCTGAGGAAAATGCTTGGCCAAAAATGAACAGATCATGTTTCCAAATTTCTGGGAATTTATATTTTGGGGCCATGGTGGTTGTGGTATCAGCTTTCTCAAAACATATTGGCTCAACAAAGTAGATTTCGGTCTACTTTCTTTTGTAAAACAAATCTATCCATCATAAATACCAAATGGCCAGAACTGGGATTAAATGGAACCCCATGTTATGATGGCAACTGGGACACTTTTCCTACCATAGAGTAACCCAAGTCCCAATGATCTTCAGAGTGAAATGGATCCCAAACTAAATCGTAGTCTATTAACAAAGCTACTTCGTTTTTTTTTTTTTTTTTTAAGATTTATTTATTTATTTGTTTGACAGATAGAGACACAGCGAGAGAGGGAACATAAGCAGGGGGAGTGGGAGAGGGAGAAGCAGGCCTCCCGCGGAGCAGGGAGCCCGACACGGGGCTTGATCTCAGGACCCTGGGATCACGACCCGAGCCGAAGGCAGACGCTTAACCGACTGAGCCACCCAGGTGGCTCCAGGTGCCCCCAAAGCTACTTCTTAATACAGACAATACCATCTCAGATTTGTCTATGACTTCACAGTGTTACTTATTTCCTCATATAGTATTCCACGTATCTACCACAATAATCCCACATGGCTGAGACAGCAGATATTATTCACCTCATTTTACAAAATAGGAGAACTTAGAAACGGGCATTTTCCTTGATTTTTCCCAACATCATCCTCCTGCAAGTGTGTAGAGCTAGTACTCCACACCACATTTCACGGCACCTACTCTAGAGCTACTGGTGGGGTTGGATCAGGTTTACTCAAAGCCAGAGTAGCATTCAGCACAGAATATGTTAGCAACAACATCAAAACCCGAGGACTTCGTGATACGGTCAGTTGATTTTCGACAAAAGTGCTAAGACGCTTCAATTGTCTTCCAATTGTCTCTTCCATCAGTGGTGCTTAGACAACTGGCTGTCCATTAATAAAAAGACCCAGTTGGACCCGACTTTGCACCATACACAAAGCTTAACTCAAAATGGCTCACAGACCTAAAGGTAAGAGATAAAACTTCTAGAGGAACATGGAGGTGTAAATCTCCACGACCTTGGATTAGGTTGCTTAGCTATGACATCAAAAGCACAAATGACAATAGAAAAATAGGTAAATTGGACTCTGTCAAAATTAAAAACTTTCGTGCTTCAAAAGGCATCATCAAGGGGCTCCTGGCTGGCTCAGTCGTAAGAGCGTGCGACTCTCGATCTCGGGGTCGTAATTTCGAGCCCCGTGTGGGGTGTAGAGATTACTTAAACAAATAAAACTTAAAAAAAAAAAAAAAAAAAAGAACAACCAAAAGGCATCACCCAGAAAATGAAAAGACTTGGGAGAGATACCTCATTTAGCTCCCTGCCCTTACGGAGCTTGCATCCCATTAGATTTACCTTGATTGTATACTCAAGTACAGTTTTGCTCTTAGGGCTCATTCCGGAAGATACTTTTCAAAAGTAAGGTGCCGCTTTCCAGAGATTTCACTTTCTCCATCCTAATGTGCCCTGGTTTCTATATGATTCCATCCTTTTCACAGCTCGGTTGTAGTCCGTTGTTAAATTCAGTTTGAGGTCAAAGGGAAAGACAATAAATTTCTTGAGAGTAGTGGCTTTTCGAGTAAATATTTTCATGGATAGCTAAGTTTATTTGGGAATCCTCATGGGGGAACTAGAAATGACAACATAAAAGTAATGGTAAGAGAAATTGAGCCCAGTGATGAACTTCCTTGAAATATTAGCCTGAGTTCCACATTCTGTACTTGTCCATCAAAATGCATCTTAAAATTTTTTCTTTTGTTCATTAAACATTTAGCCAACATGTCTGTGTGCTAATCTGACATAGGACCTGATCTTGGTGTTTGCTGCCGATGGCCAGTGACTATTATCTTCTCAATGAGAAGATGTCTTGAGTAGTCTCTCTGCTGTGTCTTATAATGATCAGGAATAAAACTCAAGGACTCTTGGCCTCTGGAAACAGGACATGATTTCTCTGAAAAACCATCACTGGATTTTTATCCTGAACTTCTGACCCTACTTCCAGTCTTTCTCATTCAGAGAGAATGGAATTACTCCAGTTAAATGAAGTATCCCCCATCAAAAGGGCTTAATGACTGAGCCATGTCTCCTCCCTGAGATATGCTAGAGTAATCAATGATGCTGTTGTCATTCTCCGTAACACTGTAACTTCTGTGCTGTGTTAAAACCATAAAACTCCTGCATGCTCTCTCCATTTCCCACAGCTGTGATTTCTGGGTCTCTGTTTGCGAATAAGCATTTCAGAATTGTCATGAGGTGGAGGAAATAGCATGTGCAGAGTATTTCCCAAGCCCAGTTGCCAAGAATGAGCTAACTGTCACCCTCCCTTGCATATCATGAGTCTTAAAAACTTCAAATACAAGCCATTCTATAATGATCTACCTTTCCTGGAGAATGGCATGTGTTCACTGTAGAACCTCGGGAAGTATACCAGAAGTAAAATTATAAATTATGTCCTAAGATTAATAAAATAGTCAACCATCCTTTTTCTTTTTTGATGTTTTCATAGCGATGAAAGACAAAGTCGATGCCTGTATTTAAAAGAAATGTTAAGTAAATATGATATAATCTTGCTACCTTGCTTCTGGAAAATTTGTTCAATGGATATCGATAGTAATCTATTCTCCATAAAGGAATAATATCGTTTTATTTTTAACTTACTTTTTTGTTTAATAGGCCAAAATTACACTTTCTTTCAAGATATAAAAGCAGGAATCACAAATATATTTCAGGCGTCGATTTCCCACTAACTGGTAATAGCTACGTATATGTTGGGTTAGGAAGATTCTGAGGTCGAGTATGACTTAGTAGAAAAGACTGCTACCATTGGCTAACAGTGTTCTCCAAGGATGCAAGATAGGGAGTGGACATGTAAGTCCTATATTTTCCATCTCTGTATAATTGGAAGAAGAGTTAACATTTTAAAGTATCTTTTTTAGTGATTACCACAAACACAGTAGTCTACGTTAAAGAGCATGTAACTGAAAACAAAGGCCAAATAAACCCTTACTATTCTGTCTATATCCTGTAGGTCAATGCATCACGTCAAGAAGCCAAATTGATGGAGGAGTGTGATCTTCTCATTGAGATCATTCAGCAGAGACGACAGATTATTGGAACCAAGATCAAAGAAGGGAAGGTACGATTTCTAGGGTAGAAGATTTCATATTCTCTTCCTGGAGAAAACATCATACTCCCATGCGCTTCAATAGCTTAGGAAATATCGAATACCCCCCTTTTCTATATTTTCTGTAGTTTCCTCTTAAGTCTTCAAGACAGAGCTCAAAGGCCCCTGGTTGGCCATTTTTTTCTCCACCCATTTCTTTGTATTGTCACCATTTCCTATGCGCCTCTGTAATAAAAGGATTACATTACCTCTCCTCCATTACTGAACTCCAGGGGGCAGCATGGAGCTCTGGTCTGTTACAGCCATTGTTTTCATCTTTCTTTGTGAGAAGGTGGGTTCCACAGAGGAGTTCATTTCATATTTATCGCTATATCCAGCAATTAACACAGTATTAAATAAATGTTTCAATGAATCAGACTTTATAGAGAAATTGCAAAGTATTTTCCCATGCCCTTGAGCGAATTCAGACAGGTATAATTTCATAGTGGCAAAACTACTATAGTTTCACTGTGTCATATATCCTTTGTGGATATATTAATAGTAATTCTTTTCTAATAATTGTATCTTTAAAATTCCTATGGTTTTTATTGAAATACTTGGGATCCATTTCATTTTACTCATTTCTCTGCCACCCTCAAAAGGTAATTTTGTAAATATTTAAAAGATAGAAACATTCATTCAAGATCCAATAAATTCATGAAGTTCTATTATTACATATGCTCATAACCATGCTTTAATGAAATATGTATAATTAAATTAGCAACTATTAAGTGGTACACGGAGGTTCCAATAACTGATATACAGGCTCTTCTCTGTTTTCTACCACATTTAAAAGGTACTTTCGATACTGTATAATATTTTAGATTACTTTGCCTATGTAAGTTGAAAAATATTTATGCATGTAAATTGTGATGGTGATCAGAAAAGTTAAAGTCAAATCAAATCAAATAGCTCTGGAAGCTGTTATAGTGAATTAACAACTTAATATGAAATCATTCCCTGGCCAAGAACTCAAATGTATTGAGAAGCGACTTTTCCCCACGTACAAATTGTACGACTTCGAAGAGCACTGAATGTCAGCCTGGAATCCTCACAGGACATTTTTCCTCTTCCATTGTCATGCACCACATGTGTACATCTCTTAATACCTGACATCTCGCAGGTCCTCAGATATACAACACAGGTTTAGTTTCTGACCTTCCGGAGGTCAGGAGTCCAAAGTCAGTCTCACTGGGCTGAAAGTCAAGGTCCCGGCAGTGCTGTTTCTGTCCGGAGGCTCTAGGGCAGTAATCCATCTGTTGCCTTTTCTGGCTTTTAGAGGCCACCTGCACTCCTTGGCTCCTGGTTTCTTTATCACATCACTCCGACCTTTGCTTCCCTCCTCAGATCTCTTTCCCTGGCACAGTTCTCTCTGGTTCTCTCTTCTAAGGACCCTTCTAATTACACTGGGGTCACCCAGATCATCCAGGATAAGACCCCCCTCTCTCAAGATCCTTGCCTTAATCACATCTGCAACATCCCTTTTATCATGTAAAGCGCCATCGATTAAAATCTCTTGGGAGTAGCATGGGAGCGTCTTGGAGGGGGGTGGCTGTTCAGCCTGGCCAGCATGCCTTTCCCTTGCTTAACTTCCCAACATGAGGGTTTCTCTCATGAGCTCCATCAAAGTATTGAGGGGCTGTCCGCAGTTCCGGCCGTCGTTATGCGTAGGGTTCGTGCTTTGGTGCACCCAGTCCACCCCGAACACGTGTCAGTGACAAGAGAACATGGTGAAATAGGAAAGCAAAGACACCCAGCTGGACCCAAAACAAGATAAAGGTCTCCATGGGCCAGAAATGGGACAAACCTGCAAAGTTGCAGTTGCCACTAAAACACGGGAGTGGGACTTGGTCTGGAAGAGACCAAAGCAGCGACACCTTCCACTCCAATGGATAAAGAGTTCTTGAAGCCCTGGGATAAAGGGGCTAGAAGTGCTCCAGATGGTATGAGGGACTAAAATCAGGCTTGTTGGTCAATGCCACGGGCCGCATAAGGCTTCTCAGTTCATTTAAAGGCACCGAAGAAGATTATTGCCAACCTCTATCCCGGGTCATAGTTTTTAGTGATTTTGGGCCTGGGAGTCTGGAACGAGTCTGTCGTTGGGCTGGAGCCTGGATCTGCACTACTTCTGATACCTGCTCAAAAGACAAGCCTCAGAAATGCAGAGGATCCTTGCCTGAATGAGGACCCGCAAGGGTGAGGGAGGTGAGGAAAACTGATGGTAATACCAGTAGGTGGAGGGGACGGGAGGGGGCTAAGCAAAGAGAAAATGATTATGAATGACTTCTTCCCTTTAAACCTGAAACTCACACCGCAGTGAAGCATATAAAGAAATCTTGCATTTCTGAAAATATAGCCCGCAAAATCAACAAAGACATTATCTCACCCCAGGTGAAATTCATTTTATGGGAAGATAAAGAAAAGATGTTTAAAGCAATAAATGAAGGGGTAACTTCTATTTTAAAAGAGCAAAACCTTGTGAAGCCACAAAAAGGGTATAAGATCAGAAAGAAAGAAATGTGAAAATAACAAATTAGCAGTTTGGGAGGTAAAATGTAGACACTGAAACTACAAAGACAACTCAGCCGCAGGGGGGATTTGGAAACTGAGTTTTAGCTTCCACATAGGCGACGCTATTCTGCATGTAAGAATATGAAATTTGAGCTATATTTCATGCCAAAATTAAAATTTCATGCGACAGTTAAATCTAAATGGATATATTCCTAATGTGAAAGACGAAATGATAAAACTTCTAGGAGAAAACGTGAGAGGAAATCTTGGTGAACCTTGAGTTGAGCAAAGAGTGTTCATATACAATGTTAAAAACATCAAAGAAATACTTACATATTAAACAGATAATTGTATTACATCAAAAGTAAAAACTTCTGTCTAAAAGGCACTGTTAAGAGAATGTAAAGACAAGCCACAGGTTGGAGACAAATATGTATAAATTATTTATCTAAATAGAAAAGTATTCGTACGCAGGTATGTAACAAATTCTCAAAACTCATTAGCAAGGAAACAAACAATACCTTTACCAGAATGGATAAAAGATTTGAATAGGTACTTTACCAAGGAAGACGTGTGGATGGCAAATGTTCAAAATCATTAGTTGTTAAGAAAAGTCAGTAAGGGAAATTTAGAGCCTCAAGGAGATACCCTACTTACCTAGTAGAACGGTTAAAATGAAAAAGATGGACCATACCAAGAGTTGTTGAGAACACGGAGGAGCTAGAACTCTCACACGCTGTTTATAAGAATAAAACTGCATTTTGGAAAACCGACGGTTCCTTAAGTAGTTATACATACACCATTCTAGGTGTTCGCCAGAGAAATGAAAGCATATGTCCCTACAGGACACGTACATGGATTTTCATGGGAATGGCAAGGGTAATAGCCCCAAACTAGAAATGACCCAAATGTCTATCAGCAAATGAATGAATAAACAATTTGTGGCACATCCATTATTTCATTTATTCAGCAACAAATAAGAACGAGCTACTGATGCATGCAACAACACGGATGAATCTCAATAAATTAGGGTGAGTGAAAGAAGCCAGACAGAAAATAGTATATACTGCATGAACACATTCATGTCTGGAAGTTTAGAAATAACACTTTCTAATAATCTACGGTGACAGAAGACAAATCAGTGGTTGCTTAGGGATGAGTGACGGAGTGGGGTAGGGGACGGGATGAGTTACCAAGGGCGGGAGGAAAATGGAGGCAAGATCTATGTGTCCATTATCTTACAGGTTTACACATACTTGCAAACTTACCAAATTTGCACTTTAAGTATATACAGTTTGTCGTATGGTAATTATATCTCAATAAAGCTGTTTATAAGACAATTGTATATTTATGTACTGGAACAGCCTTCAAAAGTTAAAATTTATGAACTTGGGTGACATGTATTCATATGGACAAATCGCAAACATATAAACAAGCTTTACAATGCGTGGAGTGAGACTTGTTATATAAAATTCGATAAACTACAAAAAAAATCCCATACAATGTTTAGGCACGCATACATACTTGGGAGTGATCCAGCCTGAATTCAAAAAGGTGTTTTCCTCTGGAGAAGGACTTGAATGAAATTAGGGAGGGACACACAGGGCTTCCACGCTATCAATAATATTTTACTTCCTTTTGAGAAATCTTTTACGCTAATATGATGGAAATATTGAGATTTGGTAAAGCTGGGACTGTGCACGGGGAAGTGGATCATATTACTTTAAAAATCGTCTGTGTGTTTGAAATTTATCACCTTTTAAAAAGTACACCCTTGGCTCGGGGACATTATCTCGGAAGGCAGTCTTAGAAAGCAAACATTACTTGGGAAAGATGAGGCCCAGTTTGGCTTTCTCTTGAGTTACTGCTTTGGCAACATCACCAAAGACTAGTGGAATCCCAAAGCTCGGAATTCACGGTGACTGAGTCCCTGGCCAGGGCACGTGGTGTCAGAGATACATTTTGAGGAAGAGAAGAGCGTGAGTACCAACGCGCTGGGAAACCGAGGTGCTGGGCAGGGAGGGCCAAGTATGGACTTGGTGCCCCATGAGGGTGCCCAGGGTGGTGTCTGGGCAGTCTTGAGGACGCTGAATCCAGAGAAGGGGCAGTGGGGCTCTCTCACCGGCACTTGGCAGTGGGGAGCTGGGGGAAGAACCGGCAGGACCGCGGAGACCACGGTGGTGACGTGACTTCGGCCGCCATGGGTCTCTGGTGTGGATCCCGAGGCCGTTAGACCTGGTGGAAACAGACTCACCGCCAATCCTCCAGCTGGGGGCTTGCCAGGTCGGCAGGGTTGGGACCCACTGGTACGTACTGGCAATGCTTGCTCTCAGACCATTGTGCAGCCTAGGAAATAAATAGCTCGGCGGCCTTTCTCCTCGGAGGGACTGGAGAGTCTCAAGCCACGAGACTCCCTGGGAAAAAGAAGTGTCTTATCTCTTCAGTAGGAGGAGATAAATTTCATGTCAACACAGCAAGAGCCGGCAGCAAACTCCAGACTGAGGAAATTAGGTGTTTTATGTTCAGACACGGATGGGTGGTAGAACGCTGCGGCCACAGAGAAAAAGGGTCCCTTCTCTTCACGGCTTTTAAGTGTACTCCAGATCTCCAAAATTTAAGATCAGTAACTGGACTATGTGGTGGGGCTTTTCTGGAGCCTTATAGAAACGCCAAGTCAGGCCTCATTGGCAATGCAGGGACCTGTGATAACTGAGGATCAGTTGCTAGGACGTAACAATTTGGGGGTGGGGATCCTGCAATACATGTAAAAGCCCATACATTAAAGGCATTTAAAATGCATTTAAAGAAAAACGAAGGGCTGCTTTTTAGAGCACGTGTAAGGTATAATAAACAGCAAATAAATTGGTACGTATAGGCCTGTGTCCTCACCGAAAGGAGATTCAACCGGCAGGCTATTTCCATGATGAGCATAGAGCGAATTCCTGAAATTACAACGTGCAAGCAACACTTCCCAAAGGAAAAGAAGAACAGGGCCCACTTGGAAAAATGTCCCCCGTGTCAATAACACTTAACGTATAAAGAGTCTTCTTACGTGTCAGTATCCAGTGTTTCCTTTCAAAAATCAAATTTTGTTCGTCTTGTCAGATTTTTAAAATAGTATATAAAAAAAGAGTTTTCTAAGGACGAAATTAGTATTTTGCTAAATGCTCGGTGTCTGATTCTGAAGTGTTGTAGCAAGTAGGACAGTGTTTGCCGAAGTGTGGTTCAGATCAGGGCCGTTTGATCAGAATCACTTAAGTTGGCAAGCTTTTTCGGTAAAGGGCCAGATAATAAATATTTTAGGCTTTGCCATACAGTTTCTGTTGCAACAGTTCACCTCTGCCCAACGTTGTAGGGTGAAAGCAGCCATAGATGAGTCATAAATGAATGAACGTGGCAGTGTGCCAATAAAACTTTATTTACACAGATAGGTGTGTGCTGGATGTGGCATACAGACCATAGTTTGTGAACACCTGATTCAGAGTAGGGTTTTTCTTTTCTCTCTCTCTTTTTTTTTAGCTGAAGCCCACAGTCAAAAAGAGAGAGGACACGAAGCCCAGCACACGCGTGTGCAGGCGCACACATGGCAGGTTTTTGCAAAACCGAATTTGCCCTCTGGATCAGGAATGCACTCTGCTGCCTTCCCCTCTCCTCTGCTCTCTCCTCTCCTGTCCTAGTTGTTTGTAAGTGCTAGTTCTGACCATACTACTGACCCATCACCTGCAGCTCATTGCCTGTTGGAATGCAGACTCGTACCACTCTGCCAATAACAACTGTTCAGGGAGGGTATTGGAGAGGGGGCCCAAACATTCACAGTTTCTCTTTTCAGAAGATCCCTGCTGATTCTTGTGCACACCATTTTGAAAATCTCCGATCCGGCATGTCGGGTGGAATTGCACACTTGAACTAAAATTAAAATTATGCCAACAGTTGTTTTCTGTAAAGCATTCCTATGTTTTCAAAGGAGGCTCTCATTTTGGCTTCCTTCAACTTAATGCATGATTTAGGGTTGTTGTTTGGTTTTGTTTTTTACCTTTTCTGCTTAATGCCACTTTTAATTTCCAGTATCATGATAGAAGAAAAGAAAGAAGAAAATAGAGTTCAAGCATTGTCGCATTTGTAGTCTGTGGGATGGATCACTGATAGGCAGACGAAAAGGCTAAGTGACTGACACAGAGTTGTTCTAAAGGAGTATTTTGACCTTATGTTTCTTTTGTTGGAATTGTAGTAGACATCTTTAATTCCGTCGTATGCTTGAATATTTCGTTCACTTGGATTGTTGGGGACTCTTAAGTTATTTTCCTTCCTCTGATGGATGATTTGGACTCTAGGCCTTTCTCAGCTTTACCTCTGGATGTAACTGTGTTAGACGCTAAGTCCAATTTGGTGTAAAAGAAGTGTTATTTCATTCAGCTGATGAACACAGTTAATCTGCTGTGGATGGTCACCGTAATTATAATGAGTTACGTCTTTTACCAGGCTTAAACTCCTACGCCGTTTGCTCCAAGGTCTTGGCACTTCGTTCTCTCTTAACTCTCTCCTTGGAGGAATTTTTCTCACTCTTGCCCGCATCTTGCCGCTGCTGCCTCTCAGTGCAGCATGAATTTCCTTTGTTTGCTGCAGTACGACATAGCTGGAATCAGATGGTCCTTAGAGGCCTCCGAGTTCTGACATCTCCTTCCTTCCTTTTCTTCGATTAAAGTTGCATGGGGATGCTAATGATGACTTGGAGAAAGAAGGAATTTCTTGGAGTTAGCAGGAATTCTGGAGGGGGCCGGAGCCAGCCTGGTCTGTAAGACAGATTAACTGGCTTCCTCCCTACCCTTTCACCCAGGGCTGTTTTCCATTCCGGAATGATCCTGAAGCCGGCCAAGACCTGTCCCGGGCTGTGTGGATGGGGCACTGGGCGCCCGGCAATTCCAATTAGCAGTCTAATTTTGACTTGGCTTCTGGCCAGAGGGCTTCATCTCACGGCACATTTCAAACACCCTAGCGAATGGTCAAGTGGGTTACCGTGCACTTATCTTGGCCTACCCCCGAGGTTACGGTCAATTACGTCTGAGGGTCGTTTTCAAGCAAGACAGAATCAGGAATTGGAATGGAGGTTGGAGCCAAACATGCATTTTTATCCCGACTGGGAAATGCTTATCAAAATAGTTCTTAGTTATCAAGGAAGCACAAAGTACCTGGAAATGACGTTCCCAGTGAGGGGAAAGGGCCCAGCTGTGCTTTCTTTGGCTTTCTCTCATCTGCTCAACAGGAAAAATATTAATCAATGGAAAAGACGCTGGCTTTCTGTTCATTTAACACATGAGTTTTAGATCGTGTGGGAAATAGTAATACCTCATGTTTTCACATCACAATTCTATGCCGTGGATTGCAAAGACCTTTTGGGAAAATGGTTCTTACTTAAGCCACACATTTGCACCTACGGGGATGTCTTATTTTCTTGATGGCCCAGCTGAAACCCTGAGACAGAGAAAGTCCCAGCGGCCGCTGCCGTCTTACAGTAATTGAGCGGAATAGTGAGGGAAGAGGTCTGGTGACCCTTGTAGCTTGCCATTAGGCAACACCTTTTCTCCCCATCAACAAGGAAGCAATTCACAATAAAGTACTTTCTCATAAAACAAATTAGCGACGCTTCTCCAAGGAGATCAAGAATATCCAAGCCAGGCGGACGTCCCCTAGCTGGGATTTCCATATTTCTCCACCCACTCTTTGGACTTTCACTGAAGGACAACTTCCGTGCAGCGCGATGCACACGTTGGAAGGGTCTAGCCTGATGCGTGTTCCCTATGCAAGCCCACCCACCTAACCATCTCCATGCCTCTTTTCAAGGTGATGAGGCTTCGCAAACTGGCTCAGCAGATTGCAAACTGCAAGCAGTGCATCGAGCGGTCCGCGTCCCTCATCTCCCAGGCGGAACACTCTCTGAAGGAGAATGATCATGCGCGGTTCCTACAGACAGCTAAGAATATCACCGAGAGGTGAGTTGCGGGGGCTGCTGGGAAGTTCTCAGCTGCCGAGCTCCTGTGTCTGGGGAGTGATCGGCCGGCCTTGCCCTCGCCTGGCTTTTGTTTTCATTTTCGAGGCTGAGAGGCTGAGTACCGGGGAGAATAGAGGCTTTGAGTTGCTTTGTTCCAGCTAAAGATGCTTCCCTTTGACATGTCAAAGCCTTTTCAGTAGCGCCCTGGAGTTCAAGGCCTTTGAAACAAGAGTCCACCGGTTGGAAAGAATAAAATCAGCCTTGCTTTGGGGGTGGGGGGTGGAGAGGCGGGGGAGAAAGCTTACCGTGGCACAAAAACGACAGTTATTGTAACTCTCGGACCTGATCTTATCGTACACTTGGTAACAAAGAGTCAAAATGAAGGCAAAAACATAAAAGGGAATCTTTTCTTCCATCTCAGGGCTCATCTATTAAAAAGAAAAAAAAAAGCAAACGCCCAGGTGTTGTGCGCTGTTAGACCTATTTTTATTTGGTTGGGAAGGTTCGCCGGGATAGAAAGGTCAAAGCTGACTCATGTGGGAGAGAAAGGACCCAACTGTCAATCTCATACCTCTTTCTTTTAAAGGGTCCTTTATTCTGGGGCAGGGCACATAAAGAGAACATTATTCGAATGGTCAGTTCAGCAGTGAAACCGATGGGAGTCAGTGCTCCTTCGCTCCGCGTCCGTCTGGATTGGCATAAACTTAACTCGCCTTGGCTGCTGCAAACACCTACAGCAGTTGTTAGCAGAGCCAAAAAAAAAAACAACTCACTCCACCTAAATGATACCTCCAACCCCTGCCAGTGCCCTGGGCTCTTCATTCATTCTCATTTTTGGAGGCCCCCTGCCCCGTATACAAAGCAATAATAGAATCCTATCACGGGACAGCTCATTCATGCTGGTCTTTATCCTAGAGCAGAAGTCTGCAAACTTCGATAAAGGGCCAGAGACGAAATATTTCAGCTCTGCAGGTTCTAAAGTCTCTTTCCCAACTACTCAGCTCTAACGCGATTAACTCCATAGCAGCCGATCATAGACAATACAGAAACAAACGGGCGTGCCTGTGTTTCTACCAACACTTCCCCAAACAGGTATTTGGCCCTCTGGCTGTATTTTGCCAAGCCCTGGCCCAGGGGAAAAAAATACTCACGGTCGTCTGACTTGCATTTCTTCAAGGAAAGAGAAAGAAAACTAACATTAATTGAGTGCGTGCTTGTGTCGGGCACTGTGCTAATTCTCAAAATAGCCCTTAGAGGTAGGCGTTGATGTTTCTGTTCTCACCGTTCTTTGAGTCAGAGTAACATACAGTGGTTTTACAGCTCTGGTCTTGTATCGAACCAGCTTCGTGGTGTCATTTCTTATATTTGAGAAAAAACTCTTCTGCAACTGGTTACGATACTTAATCTCTTCCAAAGCACCTGGCCAACAGCTGCTTATCATCCTGTTTATATCCTTAAAATGATCCCTCCCTACTCTTAAGAGAAGCCAGTTTCTTTGCTCATGACTCCTAGGTTCCCAGTGTGTGTCTTCACAGCTCTCCTCTGGACTGTATCCAGTTGCTTTATGTTCATCCTAAGGTTAAAAGCTGTAAACGGTGCTAATACTCCGGTGTACCTAGGACACTCTACTAGACCCTGTTTACACTTACGTCGTGGTTTCCAACTGGAATCCAAGAGTACTTTTCTCCAGCTACAAATCATGAGATGTCCAGATGAAATGGCTACTATGAGCTGCATTTCTCAGCACTCCCGAAAAATTTGATCAAGTGTAATATGAACAAACTCACACCTATCGAGGGGAGAGAATGTGGCCCCATAACAGTCGGGATAGAACATTCTGAAAGAAGACCTACCTTTGAAGTATAACATAAGCGCATGAATGTCCCACATGTGATCTCCCACAGATCCAGCCCGTCATAACCGGTCCCGTTCACCTCTACCTGTGACAAGCCCATCTCTTCAAGAACAGAAACATGACTTTGATTTTTCTTTCTACAGATAGTGAACTGTATAATACAGTTGACCCTTGAACAGCATGGGTTTGAACTGCTCAGGTCCACTTATACACGGTTTTTTAAAAAAAATAAATACAGTGCAGTACTGTAAATTATTTTCTCCATCATATTTTCTATAATAATATTTCTTAATATTTCTAATAATATTTTCTTCTCTCTAGCTTACTTTATTGTAAGAATGCAGAGTATAATACATATAACATACAAAAGATGTGTTAATCGATGCTTTATGTTATCACTGAGGCTTCTGGTCCCCGGTAGGCTCTTAGCAGTTAAGTTTGGGGGAGTCAAAAGTTATACACGGTTTTTCCACTGGGTGGGGGTCAGCGCCCCTAACCCCCACATCGTTCAAGGGTCAACTGTGTACTGTATTCTCAAGCCTCACTAATATATAGTTCTTGGTGCAATTGTATGTGCACTTCTGTAAAATCATTTTAAATAAGCAAAACTGTTCACTAAATCCAGGCGTAAGAAAGTTGGCCTCCTGCTTATGAGAAGGCTAAAGTTCCATCAAGTTTGAAGACGCAGCCCCACTCTTCCTGTCTCTATTGGCAGTCCTCTTGGTCAGTTCCTGAGCCTTTCTCTCTTTCCGGGACCGGAAGGTCGTGAAAGGGCAGGGGGCTTGGACCAGGACCTGGGAAACTTGGGCGGGGATCCCAGCACTGCCACTTTTTAACTATGATCCTTTGGGTTTATCTGTGAGCTATTTTCTGCATAGAGTATTGGGCTCATAGGGGCGCCCGGGTGGCATAGTCCATTAAGCGTCTGACTTGGCTCATGTCATGATCTAGGGTCCTGGGGTCGAGCCCGCATGGAAGCTCTGCTCAGCGGGGAGTCTGCTTCTCCCTCTGCCCCTCCCCCCACTCATGCGTTCCCTCCCCCCCCGTCAGATAAATAAAATCTTTTTTTAAAAAAAAGAAAAAAAGAAAATTGGGCTCATAATAGCTGCCTCTATCAGTAGTTGTAATAATATTGTTGATGACTCCTAAGAACAGGCCTTTAGCATCGTAGATACTCCATAATGTCTGTTGGATTTAAGTTCTCATAGTTTAGTATGTCAGTACGGTCCCGCCTTGTGCGTCTGTTCTGGGGCTGGTCTCTGCCTGTCTCTACTCTTCAGTCCTTTCCTTAGTAAACATTCTTCTCTAGGACGTGACTTCATAATTCTCTGCCTCCTATTGTGTCTGCCTTGGGCTTTGGCACCTGTACACTTCTAAACCATCTCTATTGTTCTATTCAAGGGGGGGAAAGCCCGGAACAAACTTTCAATCCTGCAAGCCTTCCTAAAGGGAGACTTGAATGAGATTTTTCTGCATCTTTATATCACTTAAGGTAGATATGTTCATCTACAGGCTGAATCAAACTGCAAAAAGGTTTTCGATTCAGAAATATAAAAAACAAAAAACAAAAAACCCAACGACACCCGAAGGAGAGAGACCCTCAAGCTTTACATTGTAGGAGATGCATATGCTTTGGAATCCAGTGTCTGGCTCTGTGCTAATTGCTTAGCAGGAATTATGCACGGCACTGGGGCTGCTCCTTTAACACTTGTGAGTCTAATTTTGCGCATATGCTCCTAGCAGGCAGAACCCCCCCCCCCCCCCCGGCCGCCTTGTTTTCACCATTATGGCCCCAGCACATAGCAAACTGCCTGACATGAATGAGTGAGTGAACAAACTATAAAATGGGTCGATTATTCCTACCTGATCTGGTTGTTATAGGGACAAAATCAAATAGTATAATAAAACTATTAGTCCGGTTCCTGTCCCAAGGTGATCGTGCAACAAATGCTAATTCCCTTCCCTCCCACTTACTAAATTGACGCACATGGATTGCATAACATACTATATTCTCAAGCCACACTAATATATAGGTCTTCCGTATGATTGTATGAGCATCTTTATAAAATTGCATTAAGTAAGCAAAACTCATCGAAGCATAAGAATTTGCTTATGAGAAATCTGAAATTAAAATCACTTGTAGCAGCAAATTATCAAGAGGATGGTAAAAAGAAACTTCCCTCTGAACAGTACTCATTTTTCAGAGCTCCTAGGACGGTGTCCGACTCCTCTGTCCTTCAGCACCCTAGGCAGTTCAAGGATCCATCAGACATAGCCAGAATATAAAGCGAAGAGCTCCAGTTGTCAACGATGGAAAGATGTCACTTGATTTTAAGAATTCAAGCACGTATGATGAGTGGGTTTTGAAGTGTGTTCTGGTAGGGTGTTAATTGGTGTTAAAACAACAAAGTTTCAGAGCCAAGTGCATTTGGGAAATCCTGAGCAGACCAAAGCAAACCACGTTTTGTTGCTGTGAGACCTCACTGGGTTTTACCACGGTGATTCTCCCACTCGCCCAAGAGAGACCCATGTAAGTGCCGTTGTCAGGGGTCGGGCACGGGGGCCGATATTAGGCAGGAAGGGTAGAGCATCTTCCTCTGGCATTGACTGACAGAAAGCCTGCGAGCCGTGTAGCTCCAGACACGTCCACCTTCTGGAAAACTGGCCCCATGTGGCCCTGGCAAACTGTCATGGAGATTAGGAGCATCGAAGTCAAAATAGAAACAGGAACTAATGTGCAGGCCTCCCCCTTAAGCATCAAGATAGGACACAATGTCCTTATTTGCCTCAATATGGTAAGAGCTTAACACACACTCACAAGCATGTGCACACACGCGCATATAGGTACACACACACACACACACACACAAATATGAAAGCACAGAATTGCAAAAGTGGCATAAGACCGATGACCCTGGTGGATTTTGGCAACTCATCTGAAAGGCCAGAAGATGGGCAACAAGAATTTGGGGAATAAAAACATGGCCTAAAATGTTGAATTTGGCAGATCTCCCCTTGCCTGTCACTCCAATTACGAATTTGAAATTGTAGCCAAAGATAAATATCTTTCCTTCCATCAAAAAACTGTGGAGGTGTTAAAAGCTGCAGTCATCTGCACGGATTCTTGCTGTCAGTCTTTGCCTCCCAGGCTTAGGGACTTTCAGCCTCTCCGTTCCCACTCCACAAAGTTCCCACCAGCAAGATGGCAGGTTTTTTTTTTTTTTTTTTTTAAACACTGTCACTTGCCCGAAGCACGTTTCAGTTAACTGTGGACCACAGAACCAGGAGAAACTTGGGAGTGAAATCTATTTTGGGTGAGCCTGAGCAGAAGCTTCTGCCCCTGGACCGGGAAAGCGCTAAAGCGAGATTATCTGTTCAGAGCACTCAGGATCCCTCCCAACCCAAGATCGGTGCCACACAAGAACGACAGAGAAATGCGAAAGAAAGATGGCCGTTTCTTCAAAGCTCAGTGCAGTTTTCCCTGCTGGACATCATGAAACATTCTAATTGGGGTTTTGCTTTGAAATTTTTATTTGAAGACTTCATGTGGTACTGTAGCATTTCTTTTCACTTTTCTGCACTGACGCAAATTTTTTGGGCTCTTTAAGAGCTTCGTATATATTTGCTGAGTAATCCCGAGATCGCTCTGAGTTTGGAGGAGCTTTTGTGATCATGGGTCATAAGGAAAGCATTTTTTAAGTACAGTTTGACTATCTGTGAAAACTGGCTAGCGACCATGCCTATATCTACCAGTCTAAATTATCAGGTCTTCGTCACAATGATTAGCCCATTCCCCTTGGGTGCACTCTTTAGCCAACAAAATCCCCAAACTCTGCTGGTCACTGTTTCTTGGTGAAAGAGTTAGGTGGTGAATTTAAAATGATTCTCCACCCTCATTCAAACACTTGAAACTTTTCTTTCCAGAGTTTATGCCTCTTCAAACTTTTCATCAATGGATCCCAGGATCATCCCAGTTATTACATTGTTAATTATCCCATCTACTTCCCTCCCTATACAAAGCTGAAAATGTTCCAGAAGTGCAATTATAGAAACTTCATTTCTAAGGATTTTGAGCACCTCACAGGTGTAACTTATACTGAGGTAAAATTCAGAGAACATAAAATTAACCATTTTAATGTGTGCAATCCAGTGGCATTTAGTACATTCACAGTGTTGTGCAATTACTACCTCTGTTGAGTTCCGAAATCTTTTTATTCCCCCCCCCCCGATAAACTCCATACCCACTACGTAGTTTTCGCCATTATGGCCCCAGCACATAGCAAACTGCCTGACATGAATGAGTGAGTGAACAAACTATAAAATGGGTCGATTATTCCTACCTGATCTGGTTGTTATAGGGACAAAATCAAATAGTATAATAAAACTATTAGTCCGGTTCCTGTCCCAAGGTGATCGTGCAACAAATGCTAATTCCCTTCCCTCCCACTTACTAAATTGACGCACATGGATTGCATAACATACTATATTCTCAAGCCACACTAATATATAGGTCTTCCGTATGATTGTATGAGCATCTTTATAAAATTGCATTAAGTAAGCAAAACTCATCGAAGCATAAGAATTTGCTTATGAGAAATCTGAAATTAAAATCACTTGTAGCAGCAAATTATCAAGAGGATGGTAAAAAGAAACTTCCCTCTGAACAGTACTCATTTTTCAGAGCTCCTAGGACGGTGTCCGACTCCTCTGTCCTTCAGCACCCTAGGCAGTTCAAGGATCCATCAGACATAGCCAGAATATAAAGCGAAGAGCTCCAGTTGTCAACGATGGAAAGATGTCACTTGATTTTAAGAATTCAAGCACGTATGATGAGTGGGTTTTGAAGTGTGTTCTGGTAGGGTGTTAATTGGTGTTAAAACAACAAAGTTTCAGAGCCAAGTGCATTTGGGAAATCCTGAGCAGACCAAAGCAAACCACGTTTTGTTGCTGTGAGACCTCACTGGGTTTTACCACGGTGATTCTCCCACTCGCCCAAGAGAGACCCATGTAAGTGCCGTTGTCAGGGGTCGGGCACGGGGGCCGATATTAGGCAGGAAGGGTAGAGCATCTTCCTCTGGCATTGACTGACAGAAAGCCTGCGAGCCGTGTAGCTCCAGACACGTCCACCTTCTGGAAAACTGGCCCCATGTGGCCCTGGCAAACTGTCATGGAGATTAGGAGCATCGAAGTCAAAATAGAAACAGGAACTAATGTGCAGGCCTCCCCCTTAAGCATCAAGATAGGACACAATGTCCTTATTTGCCTCAATATGGTAAGAGCTTAACACACACTCACAAGCATGTGCACACACGCGCATATAGGTACACACACACACACACACACACAAATATGAAAGCACAGAATTGCAAAAGTGGCATAAGACCGATGACCCTGGTGGATTTTGGCAACTCATCTGAAAGGCCAGAAGATGGGCAACAAGAATTTGGGGAATAAAAACATGGCCTAAAATGTTGAATTTGGCAGATCTCCCCTTGCCTGTCACTCCAATTACGAATTTGAAATTGTAGCCAAAGATAAATATCTTTCCTTCCATCAAAAAACTGTGGAGGTGTTAAAAGCTGCAGTCATCTGCACGGATTCTTGCTGTCAGTCTTTGCCTCCCAGGCTTAGGGACTTTCAGCCTCTCCGTTCCCACTCCACAAAGTTCCCACCAGCAAGATGGCAGGTTTTTTTTTTTTTTTTTT